GGTGGGCCAGCAGGGGTCACGTGTCACTCCTCTCCCTACTCCTGGTAGGCTCATCAATAGCTCCAGCCCAGGCTCCGTGAAGAAGCTCAATGAATCGACACAAATTTGGCACCAGGTGAGCCCAGACTCTTAACTCTTTCAACCCCTGGAGACACCCGCTCAGAGGTGGCACTCGCCCAGGCGCCCATCTCGACCATTCTGAGCTTTGCCACCAAGAAATCAAAGGGGTGGGTGGAGAAGGGGATCCTCAGAGTTGGGGGGGGTGCCCGGCCTCTCGGTTTCCCCTCCAGCCCAAACTTGAGGCTTTGCTTTCCCTGGCCCTGCCTCCTCTCCGTCACCCCCTCCCTCCTAGCCCCCCCCCCCCTTCCTGGAAGACTGGGAGCCTCTGGCGAAGGGGGAGGAGCCCTGAGGAGGTGCCCTGGATGCTGCCTTGCAGGGGACTGCTCTGTCTTGCATCTCTGTCTCCAGGTCGTCATCTGGGGCTCCAGCTCTGGCAGAGGGTCGGGCCTCGTCTCGGTCTTGCTTCTGGCTCCGAGCGAGCGCCGTGTCTGTTTCTCTGTCTCTCTCCCACTCCCGGGGTCCTGTGTCTCTCCCCAGCTGTGTCTGTCTTTACTTGGCCCTGTAGCCTGTCCCCATCTCTCCTAGTCTGGCTGGGGGTGGGGCCCACCATCCATCTGTGGCTCACTCTCCATTTCGGACTTCAGGTTCCCGGCCTCCGGTGGGGGTGGGGCTCGTCTGTCTCCCCCCTCTACCCCTCCATCCCAGTCTCCGTCTTATCTCACCCCTGGCTCGCCCTCCCCCATCTGTCTCTCTCCTGTCTCAGGCTCCCAGAATCTCCGTTTCTCTAGAATCCTCGGCCTCCAGCCCAGACAGGCTCCCAGCCCCTGGGGGACCTGACTGCCCCTTCTCCTGGGGGAGGGGGCGGGGGAAGAGAGTGGACCCCTCACCTGGCCCAGGCCCTGCCACCCCCCTCCCCACCAGCCTGGCTTTATAAAGCAAACCGGCCCTTATATAGCACGGCCCTGGGGCTGGGCTCCCTGAGGCCTCCTTATATGGCATGGCGGCTCCTCTGGGCTCCTGGGCCGGCGCTGGAAGGGGGGGCAGAGGCGGGGAGCACTGGGATGTGTCTCCCGCATGAGCACCCGCCCCCCACCTGCTCCCTTCTCCAGCCACGAGGATCCCCAACCGAGATTCCAATACTCGCTCCACACTTCCTCGCTCCCTGGCAAAAGCCGTCCTGCGCCTCAGTGTTCCCCTCTGTGGAATGGGGCTGGGACTCCTCCCCTGGCAGGCCTCATGGGGGCATTCCAGTGGGTTGGAGACTTCAAGTTCGCTCCCTCGGAGAAGCTGACCCCATCCTGGTGTAGAAGGGGGGCGAGGCCAAGGGCATAGCTCTGCACCTCCCTTTTGTGGGACCCTAGCTACTTGCCTCTCCACTCGGAACCTCAGTTTACCCATCCATAGCATGAAGGTCATGTCTCAATGCCTTCCTAATGCCGAAATTAGGAGACCCCTGCCCTGTGTCTAATGCCCACTCTGCCCTTCTCAGCTGCCTCCTCTCCCTTCACTTTCTAGGCTTCACCTCCCAGGAACCCCAGCTCTCAAGTGCTCCCCAACTTCTTTGTCAGCCTGGGGGAGTGGGGACGATCAAGTCTCCCCCAGCCCCCCAGGAAAACAAAGGGTTCACGGGGGATTCTGATGAAGTGGGGTCTTCACAGTGGAATGGCCGCTCTGTTTGCCTGCGGTTCCCTGCGTGCCCCCCACTCCCCCCTCCCCCCAGCAGCAGCTCTGGGCTCTGGGATGCTCAAGAGGGGGAGGAAGGCAACC